TGAGAAGCCCCCGCCGCTCAGGCCAGGAAGTTTCCACATCCTATGCTACACCAGACAATAAATGAGAAAAGATGGCTTCTTCAGAATTTCTTCCTAAGATAAACTGTCTTCCCAGATCAACTAAGTCCCAGGATCAGACATCCAGGGTTTTGAGGTAAAGCTAAAAAGACACAGTGGGTTGTATTTCTGTTTTGTTTTATAAGCGAGATTATGATTTAAAGTATGCATTCTCAGGTCAGCAAGACAGGTCAGCAGGCAAAGGCATCTGCTACCAAGCCTGGTGTGGTGAGAGAATAGACCCCTTCAAGTTGCCTCCAACATTCAACCATCCTACGAGCTCACACTCCACATACACATGAATAAGTAGAGAAATGTAGTTAATAAAGTACACATTCCCTTAATTGTTTATCAAACCACGTATCTGCCCTTTGTCATCTCAGTCATGGGCCCATCAGCAAGGGGAGCCTTATGATACTGATAGCGATGACTAACCTTGGCTCAGGCCTGTTTCCAGCTCACTCTGCCAACCCACTGAGGACCTAAGCTTGCTCTTTAGTCTAGGACCACCATTTCCATGTGGCTAACGTACGGGTCTTCCTTAGGGTTTTCCTTCTGCACTCCATGAACGCTACTAGGAACTCTGATTTTTCTCATCAGATAGCAACAGTCAGATAATCAGGAAGTTCTGTCATAGAAGTTCTTTCCTTAAGACACTGACATTAATCTCTCATGTGCCTTCCTTCTTTAAATCTAACAGTGGAGTCATCTTGAGAAAGCACAGTGAAGGAAAAAGATGGACGTATGGTGCTCCAGTGCCTGCCCGGTCTCCTAAGAGACATGTGCCCAGTCCTCACAGCACTTAGGAGGTGAAGGATGGACAAGAGGATTCTATTTCCTGTGCACATCCTACATACTGAGGGCATAAGCTGTCCTAGCTCTCCAGCAGCAGGCCTCCAGAAAGTTAAGTTTCCTCTTAACTTTATCTGCCACAAACACAAATGCTGTGGAACGCTCTCCTTACCCTGGTGTTTTATCATTGTTAAAAGCTAAATCACTAGAAGCCACACAGCACGAAAGGATGTACCCAAAGGACCCGGAGGACCGTTCTTCTCATCTCTTCGAGTAGAGAAGAATAAAGATGCCAAGAGTTAAGCGGGACGGCGGGCAAATCTAACAGAGCAGGAGACCACCTACAAACCAGCACACCACGCTGCAGCTGGGGGGTTCTGTCATGTTCCGACTCTGTGGAGAAGTCAGACCTCACAGAAAACGGCTCACAAGGTAAGTGGTAAAATGGAGGCTGTTACTTTCTGTGTCCAGGTCAGATCATCAGCAGAATAAGAAGCTCCCAATCCCAAATCGCCTTTTTCTTTTCTTTGAGACTCTGGGAACTCAAATCACCCCTCTTCCCCTCTGTTCTCTGTATGCTTCTGCCACAGAAGGAACGGAGGCAGAGGGAGGCTGTGGGTGGGGCAGAGGGAGGCTGTGGGTGGGGCAGAGGGAGGATGGGGGTGCGGCAGACGGGTGGGGGCGGGACAGATAGCGACTGTAGGAGGAGCCGGTCCTGTGCTCAGCCCCAGGCCTTTTATGGCTGTAGGCTCCAGGGACAAGACTCTTAAGCTCCAGCCATGAGCTTGTGCAGCTCAGAGAACTGAGTCTCAGCTTCTCCGGCTCTTATTCCAAGTTCCTAGGATCTGGATGTCTGTTCCCTTCAGTCATAGCTACTTCTGTGTCTTTTGCTCTTTAACCTCTTGAGATCACATATGATTCTCCATGTTCAAATCCCCTGGAGAAGGCCTAGTGTATGTGCTGTGAGATCAGCTGGACCTAATGGACACATGAAGAATTTAATCAAGGTTGGGAGGTGATGAGTTTGTTCTAGCATACACATAATGTACTGGACGTCCATATAGACCAAGCACTGCTTCATGGCCACAGTAAGTGCGATTCTTTGTTTTTGTTTCCGGTTTTGCTTTTGTTTTGTTTTTTTTGAGACAGGATTTCTCTATGTAGCTGACCTCAAACTCACAGAGATATGCCTGCCTCTGCCTCCTGAGTGCTGAGATCAAACTCACAGAGATATGCCTGCCTCTACCTCCTGAGTGCTGAGATCAAACTCACAGAGATATGCCTGCCTCTACCTCCTGAGTGCTGAGATCAAACTCACAGAGATATGCCTGCCTCTGCCTCCTGAGTGCTGAGATTAGAGGCATATAGTAAATAAGTGGGGGCAGCTATCATCACCTCTGGGTCAGAAACGAGGAAAATGCATCTCAGATACTTTTAAAGTATGTTCAGAGCTTGCAAGATGGCTCAACGGGTGAGGGCACTTGCTGCCAAGCTGCCAACCTGAGTCAGGTCTCGAGGACTAAATGTAGGAGAGGACTGGTTCCAACCATCACGTGCATGTCATGGTGTGCACGTGCACACGTATGTATGTATGTACATACATACGTATGTATGTGCATGCGTATGTAAAAACCCTGTTCAGAGAGTAAGTCATGGTGCTAGGCTACAAGGTAAGTCTCCCTGCAGGCTTCCCTGTTTCGGGCACACAGAGCTTGCACACTGCTCACAGCTCACTACAGGCACGTGCACAAATCCAGCCTACACATGTCTGCCTCTTGTCAGGACACTGACTGTCTCACAAAACAGCATTGCTTATGCCATGAAATACCTCATACCACAGGCTTGGTTATTATTTAACTTGTATCCCATCATCCATATTTCTTGCAACATCTACTGAAAACAGAATGTAGTCAAACTTCTTTTAAAGGCAGGAACACATCTGTGCAATGCATTTTCTTCATCTGATCATGGGTCACATGTCTGGTTATGTCACTCTTTTTAATCCTAACTAATCAGTGGAATCAAACTCTAACCCTTCCATTAGAATGGAATCTGGACCATAAGAGCACACTTATCACTGTCTACAGTAAGGGTTTGAAACGAGGCAGCAAGCATGTGCAGGGTGCACAGACAGAGAGACACAAAGCGACCTTTCAGGGAAGGGATGGGGTAAAAGGTGCTATGAAAGTCTTGAGGGAAAGGAACTGCCCCATCCACCCAGCCTACTCCTAACAAGCCTTGGCTCAATCTGGCTTCAGTCAGACATGTTCATACATGCCTATAATTCTAGGACTCAAAAGGTTGAGGCAGGAGGATTGTTAAGTTTTAGGCCAGTCTAGGTTACACAGCAAGATCCTGTACAACCTTACCTAAGTAAGGAAAAAAGTATTTATGTTAATTAATGCAAAAAAAATCAAAAGCTTAAGAGGGAATCACAGCTGGAAAACCTCCAAATTCAGTTCCAATCTTCCTCTACATTCTCATGTAATTACCCTCACTCGTCCCTTTAAAGACAGTTGGACCAGGAGTGATGGCACATGCCTGTAATCCCAGCACTCAGAAGGCTAAAGCTGAGAGTTCTAACTTTAAAGCCAGTCTAAACTACACAGCAAGATCTTGTCAAAAAAGGGAAAAGGAAAGGAAGGGATGAAGGGAAGAAGGGAGAGAAGATAAAATAAATTATGAAAAAAATTAGGGCAAATAGAGGTTTGTCTCATTATTTGGATTTTACTCATAACAAGGGAAAAATCTAAAAAAGAAAAAATGTCATGACAGACCATACAATCTCAATGAAAACTAGCTACAGCAGACACTACACACCATGAGCCGTTCACGTGCCCCTCTCTGGCTGCTGTAACTGAGTGTCGCACTGACAGCCACAGCACACTAGATAGGATTCCTGAACAGAGTATCTGGTTAAACACTGTTTAATATGGCCCATCTTAAAGCTGGGGTGCAAATTTATCATCTTGATGCTTTCACACTCAGTTTGAGGCCCACCCCTCAAGCTAATGAATTTCCTAAACATTACTCTAAGACAGGGAAATGCATATAGTTTAATCTCTGAAGTCACCACTCTTAACCTACAATGTGTGTTTCTATTACATAATAAAAACATTCAGATATACTAAGGAACCAACCATCCTTTCCAAGATCAAAATGCAGCAGCTGTGGAACAAGACAGCACTGGATGAGATATTCTACACACAAGTGATTTGATTCTAAGTAGGAACCTTGGAGAATCAAAATTCACAACTTCCCTCAGCTCACTGCCAAGGAAACCTTGAAATTATGCTTTGCATTTTAATAAGGGCTCCTCTGGTTAAATGACGCAGCAAATTCATTTGGAAACATAATCTGAAACCACAAAACAAATCACTCTTGCTGTTTATGTTCTAATGACACAGGCACCGAGCAGTTCCCTTGCAAGGCTTCAAGGCTAGTTTTAAAACCTTTCAGGGGAGCCATCAAGATGGCTCAACTGGCAAGGGTGCTATTGCAGTCAAGCCCGAGGACCTGAGTTCAATCCCTGGGTCCTACAGGGTGGGGGGACAGAACCAACTCCTGAAAGAGGACTTCTGACCTCCTCAAATAAGGACACAGACACACACAGTAAACACAATAGTGAGATTTTTTTAATCTCCAGGGCTCCTGGTCTGGAAGCGTTAACAATCATTTACTTTGACCTCTTCAAATCCTCAGGTTCTCACCATGACACTGTCGTGATGCTATGGAAACTGCTGACCCTGCTAGTGAACTGTGCTACCCAGCTCTGTTGCTACCCAGTCACTGAAGGACTGTCATCTAAGCACAGACAGCGGAATCACATTTTAAAGTGTTAAGTAGAAGGTATTTGTCTTTTAAAACTTCTGCCAAGGAAGGAATGTTATATTTAATTGTAATGGGCACCTCATATCAACAAGATGCTGCTGGATGGAGCTGAATCAGAAAGGTAACTGTTGGGCATTTTAAAAAAGATGTCAAAGAACAGATTTTTAAGGGATTTAATCCTACAAAGAAAAGCCCATACCACAGCCATTAGAGAAAAGAATTAGGTTCTAGTATACCTGAAAGCTGATGAAGGAAAAACAATCTTTGGAAAAACAAAACAGTAGGCTCTGACACTAAGATCTTAACACAGAAGCTCTTACCTCCCATTGTAAGTGGGGTGGGATATTTCGTATCTGAAGTTTCCGAATCCTGCAGAAGAATTAAAACATTTTAAGGAACAAAACATACAAAAGCAACACACACCAATAGCAACACAGAAGCTTAGAAAATACTTAAAATATGAATTTTAATTTAACTGTACACCAAAATACAATAACGAAATGTAGCTCACAGAGAAAGCAAAATAACCCTCAGGGTGTGTCCTGCTGAGACACTTGGACCCAGAACTGTTACGTGACTGGTATTTTATAAAGTACTAAAACAGACACATAAAATACATTTATTCTGATGACTAAGTTTAGCATTCAAGCCTCCTTTCCTCAACTTAAGCCTCCCAGAGCACAAACAAAGTCTTATCCAGATGTTTTTGCTCTGAGACCACAGCCAACAGGCTCATTATAGCATTTAGGACCGGAGAAAGAGACTCTCATTTTTTCCCAACCTCCTGACTATGTTACTCAACACAATATTGAGTGTGAGTAATAAACCACAGTACCTGTAATTCTCAAATCAATGAAAATCATGTATTTTCATGCCACAAAAGGTACAATAGATCTTTAAATATCATCTGTACTTAGTGCCAAAACTCATATGTACATACAGATGCATACATGTGTACACACACATATACACAAACACACATCGTCTCATGCAGACCAGCTTAGAATGACCTTGAGCTCCTGAGACGGCTTTACCTCTGAGCACTGGGCTTACAGGTGTGCACCACCATCACGCTCACTCACGCAGTGCTGGGAACTGACCAGGGCCTTACTCATACAAGGAAAGAGCCAGCCCCTGAAATACGTCCCCAACCCCTCACAATTATTTGAAAAGAACATATTACTATATCATATGTCAACACTTTGCTATAACTAACTGTATGGTTTGGTTTTCTTTTCTGAAGAGTAGGACTTCTTGCTCTGTATCCCAGGCTGGCCTGAAATTTGCAGCAATTAGTTTGCCTGAATAGGCTTGAACTAGTACAGCAGGCTTTGTTAACTGTATTTTGAGATAGTATCTTTAGCAATCCTACCCATTTTGTACATTTAAAGACACTCTAGGACTGGGGAGATGGTTTAGTCAGTAACGTACTTGTGTACAAACAAGAAGGCTTGTCTGTCCTCCACACCACTCATTTAAGAAGGGAGGCATACTGGTGCACACCTTTAATGTCAACATTCAGGAAGCAAAGCAGGCTCTCTGAGTTCAAAGCCAGCCTACACGGTGAGTTCTAGATTAGCTACAGCTATATAGTGAGACCTTGTCTCAGACAAAAAAAGATGGAGAAAGACTGAGAAAGACTAATTAGTTTTAACCTCTGGTCTTGAGATTCATTCACGGATATGTACACACTAACAATAATGATGATGATGATGATACCAGGACTTGGGAGGGCAAGGTAGGAGAATTAGTGTGAGGAGGCCAGACTAGCAACAATGTAAAACTTTGAATCAAAATAAAGAACATAGGTTTCAGACTAAGAAATCCACAGCACAGAACACATGAGGAATCGTCTTCACTTTCGTTCAAAACGCCCCGCGCTTTACCATCTGGGTGGTGTATAAAGGATGAGGAAGGAGAGCTGACACATGGACTGTGTGAGCCTGCTCTCCAGGCACCACAAGAAATCAGCCTTCAGCTGCTCAGCAGGACAACAGCTGCTGGAGTGATGTGCGTTTGCGACACGCCACAGGGAGACTGAACCAGGAGGATTCCAAGTTTGAGCCAACCTTGGTAACACAGTGACCCACGCCTCAGTAAAACCAAACAACAGTGACAATGTCTGTCCTAGGCACATGAATTTGACAAATCAAGAAAGTAATTCAGGGGCTGGAGAGATGGCTCTGCAGTTAAGATCATGTACTGCTCCTCCAGACAACTTGAGTTCAATTCCCACAAGTGTATCAGGATGCTATACCCACCTATAACTCTAACTGCAGGCCACAGCCTCTGTGAGCATCTCTGTACTCAGACACATACTTACACGTAACTAAAAACACTAATAGAGCCGGGTGGTGATGGTGCACACCTTTAATTCCAGCGTTTGGGAGGTAGAGGCAGGCAGATCTCTGAATGAATAGAAGGTGATAGATAGATAGATAGATAGATAGATAGATAGATAGATAGATAGATA